CCCCCGGTAGCTACGCCAATATGCTCTCAGTTTTTGTCTGGTGAGTAAAGAAATGCTAAGTCTATTCAACAGCGCCGTCATAACAACGATGCAACGGAACAAAGCAAAAAAAAAAAAAAAAGAAATAAAGAAGTTTTAAAAGACCAAAATAATAATACCAAAAACCAATACAGATTTCAAGAAGTTATTATCATTTTAGTGGACATAAATACAAAAGTAGTAAATTACCAGGCAGTGAAATGTTTAACGAGTATGAACTTTGATCATATAACATAAGCAGAGAAAAATGGGTTTATTTGTGCACAGCAAATGACCAAATACTAATAAACACTTGGTTTCAACAAGTCGGATCTTCATAACAGATCCAGAAGGTAAACAGAAAATTACCTCAGATGAGATAATAAAGGAAAGCAAGTTGAAAGGACTAACTCTTTCTTTAAGATGATAGATGGATGATTGTCAAAAAAAGAAACTTCCGATGATATGAGCTAGGAATTAGGGGCGTTAGAATTAAGTGTAAATGTAGTTTTGTAACAGATGACGTAAAATGCGACACTGAAATCCGTAGATGGATAGAAATAGTTTAAAATTCATCCAGAAATTAAGTAAGAAATAGAAACAGTATAATTCATGGCGTTCTTAACTTAATGATAAACAAAGTTGGTTAGAGAAAGGAAGACAGGAAGTTATGGAGGGTCATGATGGTAGTTGTTCTGATGAGACATGTCATATAAGCGAAATATGACTATAGTGTTGCCTACATCAATATATATTGCATTTCACATTGGTGTATATGTACCAAGATTTGTTCACTCATCAGAATTTGTTTAAACTTTTTTTTACTTCATATGGAAGCTAATCAAATTTATTAACATACTCAAGTTGAGGTAATTTACTTTCAACAAAATATATTATGAGCAAATTAATGATTTTCCACTTTATATAACGTTATTCTCAAGTAATGTCTTCATTTGACAAATTAATATCTAACTGACTCCAGAAAATAAGACAGCAAACCATCTCCAGAAAAGAATTTCACAAACCGCTTTTGAAAAGTTCTTTATTTACATTATATTCTCTATAAAGATGACAATTCCTTTTTAGTGTTTGAATTAAAACATTTAACTTTATTAGAATAAAAAAGAAAAATCAAAAAATGCAGATAATATTTTTTTATTTCCTTCTAGTTTTAATGTTGGCCTTAAAAAATATCATTTTTCAATGTTTATGAAGATTAAATGTCTTTTATGCTATTAAAAAAACAATGTATAAAAAGAACTTTACAGTCAAGTAAATAAGTCATTATTATCGGTAAATACTCTTCAGGAAATTTAAAATCCTGATGATTAGAGAAAGAATGATTTGATGGAAGAGCGAATGGCCATAATTGTAACGATTTCAGTGATAAACGGTTTAACATGTAGAGAAATAAATGAATCTAGGAACATATATCGTATTTACTCAAGTAAAAATCTTTTCTCCTGAGGACAATGAAATCATATGTAACTGTTGAGCTGTTTTCTTTCTTTTCTTTTTTTTTTTTCACCTGGATGACACAAAAAGATAACGTGTTTTCTTTTGATCACATATTTCTCGAACACAGACAGATCGACATCTGAGGAACGTTCCCAATGCTATTCT